CCCCCCCCAACACTTTTCGTAAAAGCATCCAAAGGCCTCACCAGCTACCTCCCCCTCCGCCACGCGAGAAAGAAAGAAAGAAAAGGCAAGAGATGGAAGGGGGGGGGTGTTGGGAGGGGATGGCGATGCGGTGATTGGAAATTTCTCCGTTGGATCAGAAATACATGTGGCAGCAAACTAACCCCGTCGAGTCGAGCCCCCGTGCTGGGATTTTTCAACGACTTGTATCGGCCCCTTCGCAGACTGAGTCTGTGCTGCGGAATCCCCAACTAATGTATTTCGAAAGTCTTTTGACATTTCTACGCATCTTGAGCAGCAGATGGGGGGGGGGGGTTATGCAATTCGCTAATCGCTGCCCGCACGGCTAGGATTGAAGAATTGAAGAAAGTGGAGCCGACAATGGGATATTAGGATGTTGATGTTGAAGCGCAGATGCAGTTATGGAAAAAAAGTCGCAGGAGAAATGGTTACACGAGTATCTGGCCAAGGGAAGGGATATCGGTCTCGTGGTGCCGGGGTGCAGGATGCGAAGAAGAGGTGGCCTGGGCCCAGAGGGTTCGATTTGACTTGTCTTTCCGATATTGAGGCTGAGAACGGCAAGACGACGTATACTACTCTAGCTGAAGGAGAATGGGTGGGTGATTTACTTCTCAGCGTGTTGAAATAAGTATTACGTCTACTTGTCGAATATCCCATGTCCCCTTATACAAACAGTCCAACAATAAACCTACATTCCCCTCCTCCCCAGAACCTCATCCACCCTCCCCAAATACCCCCTTGCAACCCCCCACCGTCCTGCAACCCACTCCACCAACCTCCGAAACGCCATCGCTTCCTCCTGTCCAACCACCCCATCCTCATCATCCACCCACCCCCATGTCTCCAGCACCGCAACCCCAGCCCTAATCACACACCCCAGCCCCGCAAAAGGTAATCTCGCAATCTCCTCTTCACACGCGATAACGCGTATGCCGACCTGCACCATGTCCCACGCCATACGCCTCGAGACCCTCAGCGCAACTTTAATCTTCTCACCCTCTTCTCCCTGGAGCCTCGAGTACTGTATTTGCGTGAGCTGCAAGATGAGATGCGAGCAGAATGCCAGCGCGATAGCGTCGCAGTGGAGCCAGGTGTGCGGTTGAGGTTTATCAATTAGGAGGGTGATGAGGGTGTTTATTTTCTCATCGGCGGATGCGTAGTTGGATGGTAGTGGTAGATGATGCGTCAGCGCGTGGGTGTAGGACAGGATATGACTCGCTGCTACGGCTGTGGCGCTGCGGATGTGCGTTTTGCGTGGGCTGGTGGCGTCCGGGGTGGGTGGGGGTGCGGGGATGGTGGCTGGGAGGGAGGAAGCGAGGGAGATGACTAGGGGGTCCAAGGGAGAGAGGCCAAGAGGAAAACCGGGGGTAAGGTGGGTTGTGGAGAGGGTTGCGGAGAGGAAGAGGATGCTGGAGGTGAGCCAGTCTGGGATTGGGGTGGGGGAGAGGAGGTTGAAGAGGGAGATGCCGGTTGAGAGGGTGAGATATGCGGCGTGGGATTGGCCATGGCCTGTTTCGTAGATTGCTAGTAGGAGGGATATTTGTAGGATTTGGAGGCTAATTTGGTCGCTTGAGTGAAGGAGGGCGAGGACTTGCTTGAGGGCTAGGTAGAGCTGGGGTTGAGTGGTGTGAGCCTGTTGTATGCAGGTCCGGCGGGTGACGAGCCAGAGACATAGTAAGAGTAAGGGATGGCGTAGTCTGTCTTTGTGCTGCGATTGTTGCGACAGATCTTCCGTCTCCCCGTAGAGATAGGACGTGGGAAAAACGGGACACCACTGCTGTATGCAGGTACCGAACTCGTCTAGTGCTAGTGCCAGGTCTACGTCGGCTAGGTCGAGCATTTCGTATACGACTTCGGAGAGCTTGGCTGCCGCACCGGGTGTACCGCCAGATGTGATCCATGTCGTAGCTGCATGGAGCAGCTCATCGGCGCCGCGGAGTGTCAGATCTGCATGGAGACAGGTATCAAAGTGCTGGACCAATGGCGTGACATGGTCGTCTTGCTGGCGAATAGGCTCCTTGAATGGCGTGTAGTCGCAGTGCCTTTCTTTTCTACAACCACTTAGCTCCTATCTCTTCTTTTGATGGACACGGAGAAGGTCCCTACACAGAACATCTTTGGCAACGTGGCAGGGTGCGGTCACACCTCTGTTTCCTGACTCGGCAGTATGCGCATACATTAGACGCTTTTTGCGTCACTGGTATCAGACCTGCAGCTATGCTCATTTTTCTTCCTTTTGATACAGTCCACAGCTCAATGGAGTTGGTGGCTAGAAGGTCGTGCCAGAATCAGACCATGGGATGCGGCGGCCGATGCAGATTTACGCCTACATGATTTCAGGGCTGTTCAGTAATCAAGAAGAACGGGAATAGTGACGGAATTGGAGGCCTGATGTAGGATCGAGGGAGACAGCTCTGATAGGTTGATATACTGAGTTAAGCAGGTATCGGCATTACTCGGAGATGAAGTTGCCTCGGCCGATACAGTTTTGTTCCTCAAGGTATTCATGGACAGACCATTAGCAGTTGATGTTTGGGTGTATCATTTTTGTGTGCGAGACATTGTGGCTGGCGGAGGACGTTAGTCAGCAGGCGACACCAATCGACGGCCGTCGCTCGCACCCCCCCCTGCCGACCGACACCAATCGACAGCCGTCGCT